ATGGATGGAGACCTCATGGAGATGGATGGGGACCTCATGGGATGAATGGAGACCTCATGGGATGGATGAATGGATGGATGGATGGATGGAGACCTCATGGGATGGGTGGATGGATGGATGGAGGCATCATGGAGGATGGACGGATGGACAGAGAACTCATGGGATGGATGGATGGAGACCTCATGGAGAGGGATGGGGACCTCATGGGATGGATGGAGACCTCATGGGATGGATGGAGATCTCATGGGATGGATGGATGCACAGGGACCTCATGGGGATGGATGGATGAACAGAGACCTCATGGGATGGATGGAGATCTCATGGGAGGGGTGGATGGATGGACAATGGATGGATGGAGACCTCATGGAGATGGGTGGATGGAGATCTCATGGGATGGATGGAGACCTCATGGGATGGGTGGATGGATGGATGGAGACGTCATGGAGATGGGTGGATGGACGGAGACCTCATGGGATGGATGGAGACCTCATGGGAGGGAAGGATGGATGGATGGAGACCTCATGGAGATGGATGGATGGACAAAGACCTCATGGGATGGATGGAGATCTCATGGGATGGATGGAGATCTCATGGGATGGATGGATGTATGGATAGACGATGGATGGATGGAGACCACATGGAGATGGATGGAGGGATGGAGTGATGGATGGATGGATGATGGATGGATGGGTGAGCAGGTGGGATGGTGGGAAGGACGGTGTGAAGGGTGACACTGCTGCCCCTCGACCCCGTGCAGGTCTACAAGGAGAAGCTGTATGGCAAGAAATACGTCTGGTTCCTCATCGGCTGGTACGCCGACAACTGGTTCCGCATCAAGGATCCGGCCATCAACTGCACCGAGGCCGAGATGGCCGAGGCCGTGGAGGGACACGTCACCACCGAGATCGTCATGCTCAACCCCGAGAACACCCGCAGCATCTCCAATATGGTACTGGGAGGACAGGGGGAGGCAGAAAACCCCCAGAAGGTCCATTCCATCCCACCCAGTACCTCACCACCATGATGTTCTCCATCGCAGACATCCCAGGAGTTCATCGAGAAGCTCCAGAAGAGGTTGGGGAAGAACCCGGAGGAGACGGGTGGCTTTCAGGAGGCGCCGTTGGCCTACGATGCCATCTGGGCGTTGGCCCTGGCCCTCAACAAGACCTCGGCGGAGCTAGTCAAGAAAGGGTTACGCTTGGAGGACTTCAACTACAACAACAAGAACATCACCGATGAAATCTACCGGGCCCTCAACTCCTCCGCCTTCGAGGGAGTCTCGGTGGGTTGTCCCAAAGTGTCCCCTTCTCCCCAAAAATGTCCCCAACTCTTCCTCCACCTTCAAGGTGGTGGTCAAGCACCTTGAAGGCATCCATTGGGTAACCTCATGGGCCATGTTGTCCCAACACCTCTCTGGGGACATGGTCCTGCCACCAGAGAGGTCCCACCGACACCCGTCTCCATCCCACCCCATAGGGACACGTCGTCTTCGACGCCAGCGGGTCCCGCATGGCCTGGACGCTCATCGAGCAGCTCCAAGGTGGGTGAACCCCCCAAGCAGGTGACACTGTCACCACGTTGTAGGTGACACCGTCACCATGTTGCAGGTGGTGGCCACCACCAAGCATCCCACCGCACCCCGTCACAACGGCTGCGGCTCAACGTTGTCCTCCAAGGTGGAGGAGGTTTTGGGGACAAATGTGGAACAAGAAGATCACCAAGAGTCGTCAGCGTGGATTGGCCAAGAAGAAGTCACTCTTGGCCAAGCTGACCAACTTCTACTGGTTTGGTAGAAGAGGGGAGAGCCGTGGATGGTGTCTACCTTGGTTGGAACACCATCATCTCCCAGAAGATCCTTCCAGAGAAGATGGTGAAGACCATGGATGGTGGACTGAAAACTGGGTGAACGTCCAGGTCCAGGGAGTGGAGATCAGAAGGTCCAGCTGGGGGTCAGTCACCAGTGGTGCACCCCAAGGGTCAACACTGGCTCCAGTCTTGTTCAATATCTTCATCAATGATCTGGATGATGGGGTGAAGAGTATCTTCAGCTGGTTTGGTGGTGACACCAAACTGGGAAGAGCAGCTGGGACCATCAGAAGGTCATGCTGTCATCTACAAGGACCTCAAGAAGCTGGAGAAGTGGGTTGAGAGGAACCTCATGAGGTTCAACAAGGGGAAATGTTCCAGGAACAACCAACCCCAGGCATCAGGAGAAGCTGGAGGTCAACCAGGTAGTTCTGGAGGACAACTGGTGGACACGGAGTTGACCATGAGGCAAAGGTGGCCAACAGTGTCCTGGGCTGCATCAGAAGAAGGTCAAGGAGGTGATCCAGGTCAACCCTGGAGAGATGGGGCCAGTACTGGGCTTCCCAGTAGAAGAGAGCTACTGGAGACCATCCAGGGAAGGTCCATGAAGGGACTGGAGCTCAGGAGGCTCCAGATAAACATCAGGAAGGACTTTTTCATGGTAGAGGTGACCAAGCACCATCAGAAAGTGTCCAGAGAAGTGGTGGAATCTCCATCCTTGGAGGCATCCCAACGCCACGTGGATGTGGGCATGGCCAAGGGGCTCTGGGAGGTCCTCCTTTAGCAGGGGATTGGAGAAGATGATCTCCAAGAGGTCCCTTCTGACCCTCAACCCATCTGTGATCCTCTGGGTGGTCCTGCTTGAGCAGGGGGTGGGACCAATGACCTCTAAGAGGTCTCTTCTGACCCTCAACCCACCTGTGATCCTCTGGGTGGTCCTCCTTGAGCAGGGGGTTGGAGCAGATGACCTTCAAGAGGTCTCTTCTGACTCTCAACCCATCTGTGATCCTCTGGGTGGTCCTCCTTGAGCAGGGGGTTGGAGCAGATGACCTCCAAGAGGTTCCTTCTGACCCTCAGCCCATCTGTGATCCCATGGGGGGCATCCACGAACGCCGGATGGGTGGTGTCCCCATCTGACCCACCTCCGTTGGTCCTTGCAGGAGGTGTCTACAAGAAGATCGGTTACTATGACAGCACTAAGGACAACCTGTCCTGGTACAACAATGACAAGTGGATCGGTGAGTGGGGGGGTGTCACTTCCATGGGGAAAGGTTGAGAAGACCACCCCCCCCAACTGTGTCCCCTAATTGTCCCATGGCTTCTACAGGAGGTGCTCCACCAGCCGACTACACCAAGGTCATCACCACCTTCCGCTTCCTCTCCCAGAAGCTCTTCATCTCCGTCTCAGTGTTGGCTTCCTTGGGCATCCTCTTGGCCATCATCTGCTTGGCCTTCAACATCTACAACGGCCACGTCCGGTCAGTCGTTCTCCTCGTTTTTCCGAGTCATCTTCCTCATTTTTCCAAGTCATCTTCCTCCTTTTTCCCAACTCATCCTCATTTTTCCATTTTTTGGGACAATATCCCACCATTTTTTTCCGTAACTCCCAAAAAAACCCCTCGGCAGCAACACCTAGAAGGAAAAAAAAAGGGTTTTTTTAGGTCCCATGTCCTCCTGCAGAAGGTGACGGTGACAAAAAGTTGTTGTTAGTAGTTGACCTTGTTGTTTCAGGTCCAGTTGTCACCCGTGGTTTCCCGTTATCTCGCTCCGTGTCCCCGTTTCTTGCGTCCCTGTTGGGTTGGTGGAAGGTTGTGTGCCACCAATTGTCACCTGTGGTGGCCGGGTGACACCGTGTCTTCTCAACCCCCCTCCTCCAGGTACATCCAGAATTCACAACCATACCTGAACAACATGACGGCGGTGGGCTGCACGTTGGCGCTGGCGGCTGTCTTCCCCCTGGGGCTGGACGGGTACCACATCGGGCCGGGGCTGTTCCCGTTCGTCTGTCAGGTGTGGGGCTGGCGGGGTGGTTGGGGGGTACAGGGGGAGCGGGGACAAGCGGAGGGTGGGGACAGGCGGAGGAGGAACAGGCGGAGTGGGGGGACAGTTGGAGATAGAGCCAGGGGGTGGGGACAGTCAGAGGGGGAACAGTTGGACAGGAACAGTCGGAGGAAGGACAGTCGGAGGAAGGACAGTCGGAGATAGAGCCATGGGGTGGGAACAGTCAGAGGAGGAACAGTCAGACCTACAGCCAGGGATGGGGACAGTTGGAGGGGGAACAGTCAGAGCGGGAACAGTTGGAAGGTGAACAGTCGGAGCTACAGGCAGGGGATGGGGACAGTCAGAGGAGGGACAGTTGGAGGAGGGACAGTCAGAGGAGGAACAGTCAGAGGAAGGACAGTCGGACCTATAGCTGGGGATGGGGACAGTCAGAGGAGGGACAGTTGGAGAAGTAACAGTTGGAGAGGGACAGTCAGATGGGAACAGTCAGAGGAAGGACAGTTGGAGATAGAGCCTGGGGATGGGGACAGTCAGAGGAGGGACAGTCGGACCTACAGCCGGGGATGGGGACAGTTGGAGGAGGGAACAGTTGGAAGAGGAACAGTCAGAGATACAACCAGGGGATGGGGACAGTCGGAGGGACAGTTGGAGATACAACCGGGGGGTGGGGACAGTCAGAGGAGGAACAATCAGAGGAGGAACAGTCAGAGGGTGAACAATCGGAGATACAGGCAGGGGACAGGGACAATCGAAGGAGGAACAGTCAGAAGAGGAACAGTCAGAGTGGGAACAGAGTGAGAACAGTCGGAAGGGGACAATCAGAGGAGGAACAGTCACGAGCAGACCTGGAAACCCCCAAAGGAATCATTCGGGGAGGTCCATGGGGTGGAAGCACACCCCATGGGGGTACATCCATGGGGGTACAGTCGGACTGGGGGGGGTACAGCCGGCCGGGG